TGATGTAATCGGCGGGGAAAACACCCGCTCCTGGTGGAGACGGACTCTGAGGAAGAGGAGGAACAGCCGACAGGTAGTGGAGGTGTAGCTCCGGAGGTTGTGGGTGAGGCTGGGGAAGGGCAGAGGCTGTCTGGGTAGTCAGAGGAGGACCCAGGCCCATCCCCTCTCCATCCTAGGGCACGCAGGGAGGGAGAGGATAAGGGAGAAACCTGGTCTACGGGGGAGGAAAGGGCCCTGATCCCCTTCATGGGCTGCAGCTGTGACAACTAGATAAGAGGACGGACATGCATACGAGCAAGTGCTGGATACAAAGCGTGTAAATATCCCTAGTTTATAGTTCCTCTCTGAGTTTGATGTCCTTCCCAGTGTGTGTGTTTATATCTGTGGGTGTCTTCAAGCCCTTATCTTGCCTGGTTTGTGCTGTTTTTTTTTACTCTTTATAGTTTAAACGGCATTTCCTTCTTCTTGTAACTGCTTGTGGGGGATTTTTTTTTGTCTCCAGTCAAGGATATTTGGAGCTTGGAAGCAAAGTGAAGGAATAAAAGGGCCTTCACCTGTTTTTTTTGTGACTGTGTTTATTTTGTATCCCACACCCTGGGTCATCACAGGTATTTATGTTATGTAGCTGCTAGGAGATTATTGTTTTTAATTTCTAAAGTAATTAAAACGTTGAATGGTTACTGGGATTTAAAGGGGAACTAATTAAACGATATATATATAAGGTGTAGGGGTGACACACTCTAATTGGTAATTGGGGGGGGAAATTTTGGAATTGTTTGAATTGGGGTGGAATTTTTGAAATGATGAAATAAGAACGTGCGATGAAATTGCATTCCTGACAGACTAAAAAGTATAAAGCACAACGAATACGAAGACGTGAGAATTATTTAAAGGTAAAGAAAACAGGTCAAGAAATGAATTGAAAACTTATAAAATAAGCTTGAGGAAAGTATTTGAGACAATGAATAGAAAGGATGTAAAGTAATGATGAGGCGTGAAATTAAATGCGAAAGATGAGTATGTAATCAAAGTCATGTTTGCATAGAAATGTGAAAACTTGGAACCAGGTTGTTCCCTAAAACAAAGATGCTTTCAAAATGTGGAAAACCACGAGCACCATCATAAATAGGAGACAGGTGACAGGTATCATAAGCCGCTTTTTTTTCAGTGCCGTTGCAACTTCGGTCACTAAACGGGTGGTTGCAAGTTGAGGACAGCCTGTATGGATGGGCGATGGGGGTCCCATAGGTGTGTGAATGGAGAAAAGACTGCAAAACTAAATTGATTTTTTTGTTTTTAATCCGAAAAAGAGATTATATCTAACCTCGTTTCTATTCTGAAATTGCTTCCGGATTTTGTTCTTTCGATGAACCAAAAAAATAATAATAATGAAACTTTGATTTGTTTTTATTAACCAGATTGGCTGCTTTTTTCTAGAAACGGCTTGTCCACGCTGTCGTGCAAACATTGGGGCTGCGTGGTTGTGACCTTCAACTGCGCTAAAGAGAGAGTCGGAAGCCCGTGCCTGTTTCTTAACTTTCCTCCCTTTACACTGTATATCTTTCCTCCTCATCTTAGTCCTCCCATTACTTTTTAAATTTTTTCTTTGCATTTTATAGTTTGAAAAAACCAATTTAAAAAAAGAGAGCGAGAGAAAGAGAGAGAGAGAAAGAGAGAGAGAGAAAGGACTGAGTGGGGGCTGATTACGATTCACACCGGTTTGGGCGAACCGGTTGTTAATTTTATGTCTGGTTCGCCAAACTGGTAGTTCCGAGTACTGGCTGTCCCTGCACACCCCTCCCCTCCCAGGGGTCCCCAAGTGGCCTGTCTTGGATCCCAGGTAAGTGCAGGGCGCGCATGGAGGCTCGGGGAGGGTGAAAATGCCTCCCCCCGCCATGGTGCAGGAGGCTGACTAGGCCACACCCATCATGGCCACGCACATCCAGCCACCGGGCAGAGAACCCATTGCTAAAAATGTTTGAAGCCCCCCCACTCCCCCCAGAAAGGACTCCAAAATTAGAGACCCCACTGCCCACAGGTGTGGACAAGGGCTCCCACATACCTGGCATGGTTCCTTTACCTGCCGCTGTACAGGTGAGTTCCCCGCTCCCTCAGACAGTGATGGCAAACCTTTTTGTTGTGGTGTGCTGAAAGGCAACGTGCACCCCCCATGCATGTGCACGTACCCCGCCCCGTCCCCTTACCTGCACTGCACATGTGCACACCTCCCAGCTGATTTCCAGCCCAGGTAGGTCGAGGGAAACCTCTGCAGCCTTTGGAGGCTGAAAAAACGGGCCCATTTCGGCACTTCTGGTATTTCCGGAAGTACAGGAAGTGACGAAACGGGCCTGTTTTTCAGCCTCCGAAGGCTGCAGAGGCTTCCCTCGAGCCTCTGGGAGGCTTCAAACGGCCCGAAAATCAGCTGGGATGCGCATGCGTGCGCAGTGAGGTAGGTTTGGATGGGGCTCGTGTGCCCGCACAAATGGCTCCGTGTGTCGCAGGTGCCGTGGGGGTCACCATCATGGCCCGTGGAGAAAAGACAAATCCCCCCCTTGGGAGGGTGTGGAGCTAACTGGGGGGTGGGTGGGCGGTGGGCTGAAGGACCCTCCCTCTCCTCATTTCAGCCTAGCTTTGGCGGAGATTAAAAAGAGCACCCCTTTAGCGTCGGGGGTTTGGCCAGGTCTCGGACACTGACCGAGCCTGTCAATTGCCAGAGACAGGAAAAAAGGAGGGAGAGCATGGAGGAAGAGGAGACACCTGTAGCCCCTTACCTGTTGAGTAGGCAAATGAGGAGGGTGAACAACTCAGAGTACAAGCCGGAGGTCAGGGCTTCCAGGCACTCCAAGGCAGAGGTTTTGGGACCTGCAAGAGAGAGAGAGAGAGAGAGAAGGGGGGGGAAGAAGAGGGAAGAGAAAGAAAGAAAAAAAGAAAGAGAGAGAGAGAGAGAGAGAGAGAGAGAAAGGAAGGAAGGAAGGAAGGAAGGAAGGAAGGAGAGAGGGAGGGAGGGGAGAGACAGTGAGAGTGAGAGAAGGGGAGAGGAGGGAAGAGAAAGGAAGGAAGGAAAGAAGGAAGGATGGGAAGGAGGGAGGGAGAGACAGTGAGAGAGAGAGAGAAGGGGAAAGGAGGGAAAAGAAAGAAAGAAAGAAAGAAAGAAAGAAAGAAAGAAAGAAAGAAAGAAAGAAAGAAAGAAGGAAGGAAGGAAGGAAGGAAGGAAGGAAGGAAGGAAGGAAGGAGGGAGAGGGGGAGGGAAGGGAGAGGCAGTGAGAGTGAGAGAAGGGGAGAGGGGGGAAGAGAAAGGAAGGAAGGAAAGAAGGAAGGGTGGGAAGGAGGGAGGGAGAGACAGTGAGAGAGAGAGAGAAGGGGAAAGGAGGGAAAAGAAAGAAAGAAAGAAAGAAAGAAAGAAAGAAAGAAAGAAAGAAAGGAAGGAAGGAAGGAAGGAAGGAAGGAAGGAAGGAAGGAAGGAAGGAAGGAAGGAAGGAAGGAGAGGGAGGCAGGGAGGAAATGGAAGGGAAGGAGTGAAGGGAGGAGGAAAGAAGGAAAGGAGAAAAATAGGAAGAAAAATGAGGGAGAAGGGGAGGGAGAAAGGAAGGAAAGAAGGAAAAGGAGGAGTAAAATAGGGAAGGAATATAGGAAGAAGAAAGGGAGGGAAGGATGGAAGACAGGAAAGAGAGAGAGAGAGAAAGAAAGAAAAGAAAGAAAGAAAGAAAGAAAGAAAGAAATTAGAGAGGGAAGAAAGTTAGGAAGGAAGGAAGGAAGGAAGGAGGCAGAAAGGAGGGAACGACTCCAATGTTGCAGTGCTGGGATCCCCCTAAAGCACCGCATGGACACCCCCACCCCCCCAGTCTCCCTCCTTGAGCAACGCCAATCATTCCGCTGGGGGTGGGGGGGGTTAGAGCGGAGCCCCAATTCCTTCCCCCTCCCTCTCCTTTGATCTCCATTGATTTCCAGCCCCTCCTGGACCAGCCCCCTCATTTGGGAGGAGGTGCGTGTGTGTGTGTGTGTGCGTGTGCGTGTGCGTCCCAACACCCCCCCCTCCAAGCTGTGAACCCTTGCTGTAACCATTAACTACTGGGGCGTGGGGGGCCCCACTCAACCTCCCCCCCAGGGGGCCGACAGCCCTGCCGCCATTGGGCCCCTGCCCCTCACCTGAGCCGTCGGCCAGCCCGGCCTCCTCGGGCCCCTGGCGGAAGGAGGTGGACCTCTGCACGGAGCCCTTGGCTGGCGGCTTGAAGATGGCCGAGGAGAGCTCCTCCAGGGTGCAGCCCAGGAGGTAGGCGGCCTTCTGGGCCCACTCGTGGCGGGCAAACTGCTTCCGGCCAGCTGGAAGGAGACGGAGACCATGGGTGGGCGTGGGGGCCAAGGGCGAGGGGTGCCCCCCCCCCGCTGCCAGCCCGGGGCAAGGAGGGCCACACCTGGGCAGGGGGGGGGGGCGGAAGAGGCCCATCCCTCCCACAGACCACCCGACCCCCCCCTCCAAAGAGGTGGAGGGGCTTTCGGGGAAGGGTCTCGAAGGGGCTTTTCCCCCCCCCAAAAAAGGCCACTGGAGTTTTCTTGGGAAAGGTTTCGCTTCTCATCCAAGAGGCTTCTTCAGTTCTTCCGAGAGAGAGAAGGGAAAAGAGAGAGACGGATGGACGGGAGGCAGGGAGGGAGGGAGGGAAGGAGGGAGAAAGCGGGAAGAGAAGAAAAGAAAGGGAAATGAGAGGGGGGGAGGCAGAAAAGAAGGGAGGGAAGGAGGGAGGGAGAAAGCTAAGAAAACAGGAAGAAAAGAAAGGGAAAAGGAACGAGGAAGGGAGGGAGGGAGGGAGGGAGGGAGGGAGGAAGGAAATGGGAAGGAGGGAAGGAGAAAGCCAGAAAAACAGGAAGAAAAAATAGAAGGGAAAAATGGAAGGAAGAGGAAGGAAAAGGAAGGAAGAAAGAAAGGAAGGAAGGGAGGGAGGAAGGAAAAGGAAGGGAGGAAGGAAGGGAGGAAGGAAAAGGAAGGAAGGAAAAGGAAGGGAGGA